AACTTGACCCTAACACTAAGGGCCCTAACAGCAGAATAAAGCATCACCAAGGCAGACAATAGACACATTAATTTAAAGCAAACAGAGAACCTGCACAGTTTTTACATACCACGTAGCACAAACACACAGTGTTACGTTGCTAGGCAATGCAGTGGTTGTTCATGTTCTTCTCCAGGGAGTTCAGAGAGTTTGTTGTCGCTCTCACCCTTGTGCACTGCTGAATCCTCTACAATCTGCCCCTATAGTAAACTTCTCTGCTCATTCACTCTCAATGTGTAACAAGTCCACTCAGCGCTCCTCAAACAGTTTTCAACATTTTGAGCTGAATGAGGCTCTGCAGTCACAAGTGTGACAGGGATTGTCAAAAACAGCAGAAAAGGCCACGCATGCCTCGCTGAAGGTAAAAGGTCCTAAGTGTACGCAAAAGTTGCCGCTGGAGGATCCACCATGAGCATTTTAGCATGTTAACTGGTCACGCACCGTTGTGGGTGTGTTTAGTTTGGGTCACTTATAGTGTGCTCGCTGGGTGGTGCATTAAATCAGTGAATAATTAAGATATATGTGATCCTTTTGTTTTTACCTATGTAGAGATACTGGGATACTAATCTTAAAGAGGTCATTTTTGCTTGTTGGCCTTTTCCCTCTCCTTTATTGAGTTTTAAAAAAATTTTTGTGTATGTTATAGGTTTGCAAAGCTCGTTTGTAGTCCAGCCATTTCCCTTTCATCCCTGTAATGTCACTGGGATGAAAGAGAAATGTGCATCATATAACGCTCACCAAGCGGCTAGTCCGACACGCCCTCAAAAACACCGGTGGAAGAACATTGAGCAGCAGCACACCTCTCCTCTCCCTTCCAAACACTAGCTACCCTCCAGGCAGTCAATGGACATAAAGTTGTTCCTGTGATGTAGAGACAGAGCTCAGTTATAACTTTATGGATGAAAGACACTTTTGTTACAGATTAATAACTCACCACTCTGAAAGTCCTGCTCCAGTCCATGTTGCCAAGCTGGTCGGCAACATGTACAGTTGAAACAAAGCCGTGTTTACCGGCTTCTCGCTGACCCGCCCTTCTCTGCTTCTGATTGGCTAGTAGTCCTTAACTAGGAACTGCGCATGTGCAACTCCCAACAAAGATCATTTAGAGGCAAGATGTATCACTCCACAGCTAAAACGAAGCCTTCAACACAGGGTGAAAAGAGGAGCTGCAACAATGTGCAGTATGACAAAAAATGGTCTTTTTAAAAAATGAAACCATGTAAACCTGTTCTGGTACAACCGCTACATAAGATTTTGAACCTGAAAATGAACATTATACCACCTCTTTAAAGCGAGGGTAAGGGAATTTGTTATATTTGTTGAAATTCTCTTTATACCCCAACAGCAATCAATAAATCCAATGCTCTGACACAAGAACAAACAAAAATCCAATATCTGTGGCTGTTGCAGGCCTGTTATAAGCATGGCCAATCATTTCTTTCGGTCCTCCCTGCCTAGCTCCCTGCCTACTCTGCCCGTGCACTCACTGCACATGAAAATGGGTTTTTGGGGAGTGGCTTTGGAAGGAGGCCTGAATGGAGGAAGTGGCCCTTTTTTAGTTGGATACTGTCTCTTGCTAAAAGCTACTGATTCTGAATATTAGGTGTGATTCAGAATAGTCAGTAAATTTTTGAGATCCGGTGTAAACCTCTGAATATTACTAGATAATCCACCATCTCTGGCAAGAAAAGTGCTGGGATCAGATACTGTAAAACAAAGTAATAGGTGAGCTAAAATGTCCCAGCAAGTTTTGATTTATTGATTTACTTTTGCCTGCACTCCCAATCTGTATAATTTAATTTTGAGTGTCCACAGATCCTGATATTTACACACATACACAATACAGCAACATAATGGACATAAAGCTAAATGTGGACATACATTATGTAGGGCCTTAAGTGAGGACAATCCAACAGGGGTATGACTGAAGCACTGCAGCACTACAGTAAAAAGCCATGCCTACAGTCAAGACATGGCTTTTAGAAAAGATGGTCTTTTTGTCTGGATAAAATAAAAGCATGCAGAAACACACACACACGCACACACACAAGCACAGACATTTTAAGTAGGTCTGTGTTTAGAGCCATGTGCACACAAATGCAGCTTGTCTCAATAAAACATGGTGGTTCGTTGTTAATCTTTAATAGTTCTGTCCTGGAGAATTAACCCACATGAACACACATTTAGGGCACCATCCCCTCACACACACACACACACACACACACACACACACACACATGCACACAGAGATTACCCATTTCTTGTTCTTCTTCCTCAAACTCTTCCTATTTCCCTCCCTCCCTTCATCCTCCCATTCCACTTTCTGACAATCTTCCATCAGCGTTCCTTCCTCTGTCGCCTCCTTTCCTCATTCTCCGTCGTCTTTTCTTAATTTTCCTCTGTTCTTTTTTACCTTTCCCATACCTCTTCTCCCATGCAGCCCTCTCCCCTTTCACCAGTTCACACCAGTTTACAAAACAGCGCGATCCACTTATCAGGTGGGGAAGAAAATGAGAAAGAAACACATATGGTTGGGTGAGAAACATAAATCTGGAGGAGAGGAAAAGGGGGAAAGAGAAAAGAGGTCGAGGAGCAACAGAAAGTAGAGAAAGGACAAAGAGACCCTGCCAAACTTGGCACTGAGCGATGGATTAGGGGCTAATTTGATCAAATATTTATGTCGCAATGCTTGCTGGGAGGTTTGACTGCTGGTCACAGCCGGTGCAATGCATGTGTACGTTATTGTTTAATTTGGTGATGAGAAAAAGGCTAAATAAATCGCACAGATATAATTTAGATGGATTGAATCAGATTATATCACTGATGATGATGATGATGATGATGGTGGCAGGAGGTTTTGAAAAAGCAATCAATAATAAGCATATATGCCCAAAATGTGAAGCACTAGAGCTATTTCATTCCATGCATATGTCTCTCAGCAGGAGCAGTTGCATAAATCTGAGTGCGTGAACTCATTCACCTATCTATCCACCCATCTTTGATAAAATATTACAATTTAGCCCATTGCCACTGCTCCACATTCTACTGACAGATCACGTTAAACAAACAAAGTATCATATCCAAACAGACACAACCAGTGGCAAACTGGTTTTCATTATTTAGAAAATGTCTCTATTTGTCCTGCTGGCTGTGTACTCTCTCTGTCCGTCATGCTCTGTGCTGCTATCTGCAGTGCTGTCTGTCTCTGAGCAGTCAAACTCTGCCCCCTGCTGGCTGCATCAGAAAAAACTGCACAGATAAAGTGTGTGCAAGAGCTGGATGCTAACGAGACCTGCAGATTCCCTCCAGATGTACACGTTTTTCTTGGTAACACACGCAATGAACCCTGAGTTTCAAGAAAAGCCATTAAAAAATGTTTCAAACTATAGATCCAAAAACATTTAGTTACAGTTGTAATATGTGCTTGCCATGGTGCCAGTGGTCACTAGGTAGGCACATGAAGTTCATTGTTTAACTTATTGGACTGTAGGTTGAAGCAGGATGTTACATCTTCCATTTCTGTGGAGGATTGAACAATCTCAGTCTATCTGTGTCTACCTAATACACCTAATCACTTAATACAAAGGCAATCAACAAGAAAGACCAAGACAACACCATGTTCAGTACCAAGATTTTGAAATCAAATCAATTCATTTTAAAGATAGAATTTTACATTTTGGGAAATTCTCTCATTTGCTTTCTTGTGGAGAGTTACATGAGAAAAGCAATACCAAACTCTTATGTCTCTGTGGTAAATACAAGGCCACAGCAAGCAGCCAGTTAAATTATCTTAGAATTACACAGTCAGTTTCCACTCTTTGTACTAAGCTAAAGTAACCAGCTGCTGGAATACTGGATGAAAGTGAACAACATCCTGTATAATTCTGTAATACCGGAGCAGCCCCTGACGTGCACTGCAATCTCCATTTACATTTGTTCATTTGGCAGGCTCTTTGGCAATGACGTAGTAGATCAAGGAAAAGCCTTCATGAATAAATGCCTCAACACTTCTACATTCTGTCTGACAGAAGAGCCACAAGGCTTGCAGGTGCATAAGTAACACATAAGTGCCTAGTAAATGAGTCATGTCAGAATCATTCAAATGGCACAATTTTTAAACAATCCCTACTTTTTTTGGAGAAACTAATTTATTATATCTTTCCCTAAAATAAATAACAGACCGTAGATTATTTAAGATTATCTACAAGACAAGTGAGGTGAATTGATTTTCCCCTTTTTTTGCCGTTCAAACTATAGTTATTTACTGAAGAGCAAACATTACAAACACCACTGCTGTCCTCCCTCCAGACAGCTACTTATGCAAAGCCAGGTTATTTCAGTCCTAACAGTTCATAATTTGGAATTCATGTTTCAGGTTAATTACTGGGGTGGTGATGGCGCAATGGATAAGACGCCTGCCTTTGGTGTGACAGATCCCCCACTGTGACCCATCCACCATTGTGTTCCTGAGCAAGACACTTAACCCCTCGCTGCTCCAAAGGCGTGCGACCTCTGACATGTATAGCAATTGTAAGTCGCTTTGGATAAAAGCGTCAGCTAAATGAATTAATGTAATTAAAACTAAATTGGGAATTTACTGTATAATGGTCAAGTCTTACTAAAATTAGAGATATTAAATGTATGTTCTAAGTAGTCATAAATGAATTGTAGAGAGAACTACATATAATGCAAAATGTTTACAAATCAATCTAATAAATGAGAAAATAGCATTAAGATTTTAAAAGGCCAATGCTATGTAGAAATATATTGAATTAGGCTGTTGTTCTTACCAGTCAAATTGTAATTGCAGATATCTTCAATTATTAACCTTATTGGATATACTGTTATTATGAATTCTAAAACTGCATTTGTAGATATTTGAGTCAAGAGAAACATTTCATTCATTTCAATGTTTGAGCTTCGTACAGTCGCGTCGTGCCGCACGAGATCTCGTACCTTCCAGAGGAGCGTTTCTCACCGCACCACCAACTTGTCACCAAAGATGGCGATTTGCTGAGTGCTCATGGATACACACATTTGTCGGCTAGTTGTTATCTTACCAGAAACGCTAACTCTAAAAACAAATTAACTGCTTACGGAGCAACTATTTCTCCATTTAAAGCACACCTGACGCAACGTCAGCCACCGCCACCATGCAGATCACGCTTAAAACACTGCAACAGCAGACCATTCAGATTGAGATAGACCCCGAACAAACGGTGAGTGGCTATTAACGTTAGCTAACTTTAGCTAACAGAACTGCTGCGGGACCCTACGTTGTATTTTTAACTTTACGTGTAGACGAAAGCGTTTTATTTGATATTTCCAATTAAAGAACAATATCTGTAGTATCGGCAAAGGGGTGCCAATTAACAGCACGTGTTACAACTACACATGAAACAGGCGCTAAACAACGCAAAACCTCACTAGCAGTCGTTAGCCATTTAGCTAGCTGAGCAGCCCGTTAACAAAGTCATCCCGACGCGACTGCAAATGAATTTCTAATAGTTTCGAGTTTGTGTCGCGGTTACCTTGCTGCTACTGCTCTTCAGTAATAATAGATGTTGTCCACTTTGTAATGCTGTAACTTCTGTGAGAAACCCAAGCTGTTCGCTACGTTACTGCTAATGCTAATGCGAATGACACTGCTAATCACGAATAGCCGTATTGGTAGCGCACTGAGAAGCTGGCTAAGTTTGTTAGCGTGTTCACATATTTAACATGCAGTTAGCAAGGCCAACGGTACGTGAACATCATGTTGTGTTACTCAACTTGTTTTTGACACAATATGTTACTCGTCGTGGATATCGTTCAGGTAACGTTAATGTTTAACTTTTGTCTGATTTATAGTCAGCACTGCCATGCTGTCTGAATCGGAGTACAACTTGTGCTTTTCTAACTCCGATTACTTTAAACTTTATGCTCTCCTGACTTATGAAGATATGGTCATTGGTCTATCTGGACAGTTTGTTTATTTTTAGTAGGTGCTTGGTAGAATATCGAGGTCCAATGACATGAGGGTCAGAGATCAAATAGGTGAATGAAAGACTTTTATGGATGTTAATGGGTAGAAATAAAAGCATTAGTAGACCTTTAGGAAGTGCTTGCATGTTGGTAGTTACGGATTATGATTCCTCTCTTCCTTTTTTCAGGTGAAGGCATTGAAAGAGAAGATAGAAGCAGAAAGAGGAAAAGACAACTTTCCCGTCTCTGGGCAGAAGCTGATATACGCTGGAAAAATCCTGCAAGATGACACGCCTATTAAGGACTACAAAATTGATGAGAAGAATTTTGTTGTGGTGATGGTGTCCAAGGTGAGATCTTATTGAAATACTATTGGTATTAGTTTGTGGGGACTTGGCTTGGGAATGGAGGGTTGCCGGTTCAAGTCCAGCACGGACCAATGCCGAAGGTACCTCTCAGCAAGGCCATGAATCCCCAACTGCTCCCTGGGTGCAGCACAATGGCTTCCCACTGCTCCTTATTAAGATCAGTTAGATGCAGAACAAAATTTGACATGGGTTTTATAGTGTGGTGGTGTTTTAATGTTTCACTATTAAGTTGATTGTCTAACAGCACCTTCTTTTGAACTGGCAAAAGGCTAAGCCTGCAGCTGCCGCCTCGCCTCCAGTCTCGGAAGCACCCAAGCCCCCTGCACAGGACTCTGGCTCCACGTCAACAGCTGTCCCGGCCACTACCCCAGCTTCAGCTTCAGTCCCAACACCATCAGCTGTCCCCATTCCCTCTGAGGAGGCCAAAGAGGAGCCAAGTGTTGCAGCCACAGAACCACAACAGCCAGCAAGGTAGAACTGGTCTTTTTAAAAACGTTATTAAAACCATTTTTGAATTACTAGAGAGTCGGGAAGCAGTACCGGGAAAAATCAATATTTTTCAGATATCAGTGTTTAGCGTTTGATCCAGAGCATGTCATTGAGACAGTGACCCCCTTAAGGCATAAAATGTGCCATCACTGTGCCCAAATGTACCCTATGAAGTCGAGCAGAATCAACATTGCTAGCAGGCTTCTCTGTTATTTTCTTCTGAGTTGTTGTAAATTAAGGTGTACAGTTTACACAGAAGCAATGACTCCCTAGAAGCTGGTGTGGAGCTAATGGACAGGCTCTCTCACCCACATGTGTTTGTTATGGAGAGTTAAAATTCAAGCCAGTTATAACATCCATTGTCTTTTAATATCTAAGTATTTTCATTTCATCAAAGTAAGTAGTCTGTAATGTAGCATGTTACTTATTTAACTACATAGAATGGATGCTGATTTCTAAATTTACTTGTCAACATTGTTTACTGCTTTGCTCATCACCCAGTGTCTTCAACTTGGAGTCACAGAAATGTTGTGTAGGTTGTCTGATTCTTCCTCTTCACATTTTTATGCGTTGCAGCTCCAGTGGTGGGGGTCAGGGGTTGGATGCGTCCTCAGCACTGGGTAGGTAATGGATGGCTTCCCGCCAGACTTGCGTCATATGATGCCTGTTCAGCTGTAATAGTCCCAAGGCAGTAGTTGCGGTATTTCCTCACTGTTGTTAAATGTAAATTGTGTAATGTCAAACATTTGACTGTGTTATTTGTGGGTTAATATCCCAGCAGTACATTTTTTTTGTGTAAAATTTTGTGCTGTGCCAAAAATGGTTACTGCTGTGAGTCAGGGACTTTACAGGCTGCAGTGCAATACATACTGTTCCTATATTTAGGTGGTGACAAAAGTAAGCCATCCCTTATTGTGGCCACAGAGTGCAATGGGATTCCTGTTTGGTTACAGAGAATTTAAGAGAGGAGTCGTGCTGCTATTTAAGACTTTATTGTATGCTAAATTGTAGGGCTGGAAGATTTCACCTAAAATCAAAATCAGGATTAATTGAAAATTATTTTTGAATGTTTTTTGTTTGCGCTCATATTTCACTGACAATGTTTGTACTGTAAATATGCTCAACTATTAAAGCTGGGTTTATTTATTCAGATTTCACAAATCCTTTAGGCTATCTAAATGTTAGGTAATGTTGACGTGCACATTACAGAGACATGGTTCCCCTATATTTGGCGCATCGCCGGCACTGAATTATGACTTCTGCTGCTAAACTTTCACTCAGTTATTTAATATCAACAAATGAGTTTCACCCCCACTCTGTGTGAGCACGGTAAATCGTGCTTTTCTAGCTTACTCTCCTCATTCATCAAAGGACATCTACGTGACAGGTGCTGTTAACTGCTGTGCAATGTGTTTGCATAGCGAGTGAGTGGACGAGTGAATGAGAGAGAGCGTCAGAAAGTGATGCTGAAAGCGAGCAAGTAATAAGTTTTCAGTCTGGCAGTAAATGATTAGGTCACAGTGTGTCCGTTTATTAAAAGTCTGTTTCCACAACTGCGGGAAAGTGAAGGCGGTTAGCACAAGCTAACATGTCACTGTGCTTCAGACTCTGGTCTGTAAGCTGAGCAGGACTGGACAGGGCGGAGTCACGTGTCTACACGTGCTGTGTTTCAAGGTGAACGTACATGAACCCACACAATATTAAATAACCAGGATTAAATAACCAACATGGGGAAATTACGACCGTTAGAGGCTCTGAATTCAGTTTTGATTACTTTTCAGTTAATTGTCCAACCCTACTATATTGTAATGTTTAGATTCAGTTCTTTTGTAGAGTTAGTAACTTGATCGTGTGTGTGTTTCAGTGACTGGAGCTGAATACGAGTCCATGCTGACCGAGATCATGTCTATGGGCTACGAAAGGGAGAGAGTGGTGGCTGCGCTACGGGCCAGTTTCAACAACCCCCACAGAGCTGTGGAGTACCTTCTTACTGTGAGTCTCGCACACAAACTTATATCTCACTTCCCATCTGAAAAGCACCACTGGTTTAACATTAATACAAATAAGATGATGAATTAATACCTGAAATGTGCACAGTATGGCTGTCTGTCTTCCATTATTGACAGGTCTTTCCCTCGTTGGCATTTTAGATAGATTGATAGAGATCATCATTATTGTATAACTTCTCAACTCTTATCAAATATGTGAAGTTTGGGGCAGATCTGACCATGTTCAGCCCATTTACACACTTCCTTTTTCATGGCGAATCATCGTGTGTGTGTGTAATAGTGTCTGTGGAAAGTATTTTTGCATATTTTTTTTATATCTGTGATATATGTGTGTGTGAAGCGCCAGTGCTCAGCACAATTTGTGTTTCAGTGTATACCAGGGTCGATAGACGATGCCATTGGCGATGGCTGACAGATGTCGATGGTTGAGCAGGCATCGTGATTGTAAAACCCTGCCCTCTGGCAAAAAACCCCCAAATTTTTCACATTAAACCAGCAAGTTTTAATCATCGGGAACATTATTAAAATAATTTTTAAATATGCGTCGCACCTTCCACGGAATTCTCTTCTCCCCACCCTCAGACACACAAGAGGCCTACACCTCAGGTAAACACAGTGGCTTGTCCCGCGTCTCTCTGTCTCTCTTTCCCCCCGTCTACTCCATTTTCTCCATCAGCAGTATGTTTTTATAAAGTCGCCCTAAAAGACACACTTGTCTTTTTTCTGTATTTTATCACAGCGCATGTTGGCTTGTTAATGACGCAGCCTATCAAACAACCGAAACCAACATCTGCACCCTGTGCTCTGCTCTGTGCACTCTGGGGGAAATTACTGTTACACAGAGAGGTGGACAAAAAGGAACTCATGAGCAACTGATTTGTATTTACCAACTAATAATGAGCAAATTATCAGTTACCAACTAACTTCTGTGGCCCTAACATCATTTTGATCTCTCCATGTTCTTTGGCAGCATGCTGGGAGTGCGTGTTTGACAGTTTTGTTGTTGTGTTTCAAGGGTATCCCCAGCAGCCCAGTCCAGGAGAGTAACCCCCCAGCGCAGGCCCCCACATCTGGACCCACAGAAGCCCCAGCATCTCTAGCGGAGGGTGAGGCACACCACTCCTTTTGGTCCCAAAATACATGCAGCCAGCATTTATGTCTCTGTCTCTCCCCACTGTGTAAAAACAAACAAACAAAAAAAAAACAGTAGTGGTGGATAAGCTAGTATCCATGCATTAAAATGAACACTGGGAACACTTGAGTGAACACTTATACCACTGTTGTCAAAAATCTGGACAATCCTTTCAATATGTGATTGCTGCTAGGAGTGGAAACATGTATAGACTAAATGTGTATGCATGAGTCACTGACAGGCATTGACTCATGACTCATTAGTCTCTGAAGGTTTTTCTACCATCAGCATGTGTAAATTGTTGTTAGACTTGTTAGTTGCCACCACCTTCACTCTGTGAAGACTTGTAAGTGATTAAGGCCTCTTTGTTGATTAGGACTCGAGGGACAATGATCAGTTGATCAAAAGAATACTGTTTTTAAAATGAAATCATTCTTCTAGATTCTAAGAATGTTGCTACTTTTCTTGGTCTTTCGAAGACATTTAATGATGTTCCCTTGTGCGCTGCTTTATTTTTACTGTTTGGCAGTTTGTGCCCAAGCGGCAGATGGTCTACGTTAGGGGTGTACATGTTACGATACGATTACAATTATCAGGTCAGCGATTCAATTCGATATCTTGATGCATAACCTCAAGGGTGGGAATTGTCATGAATCTCATGATTATGAGGGCTACGATGTGGTTGTAAAATGAATAGGATAAAGATGTATTTTTCACACTGTGTGTACTTTTAAAGTAAAGTATTTGTATCAATCCAAACAAGTAGGTTGTAATGAAATACAGATATTTAATGTTACTTCATATAAATGTAACAAACGTTACATAGCATTATTACAGCATTATACCCTCTGCTATTTTTATTTCTGATTCTGCTTAATATATCTGTTCCCTTGTTTTTGTCTCATCTGGTGAAGTTGCATGTTTGTCTTGTAAGTTGATTATTGTAATCTTGTATTGAGGACCATGGGCCTTGAGAAACGACATGTTGTTCATTTATGTATTCGATAATTGGATGAATGACAACAAATGAACTTAAACAAGCAGCAAACGACGTCCTGCTCAGCTTCCAGAACGCAGTCTGAAGAGATGTTAGCTAGCGCTAAATGCCTTCACTTTTCCAGTAGCTGGAAAACAGACACACTGTAACCAGCACTGTACATTTATGGCCAGACCGAAACGTAGCACTCATGTTTGCTCTGCTCCGCTGTATTCACCAGCACCTACTGCCACCTGTCCCGTAGCTGTCCGTGCTGCACAGTGTGCAGGTGAAAATCATTAATGTTAGTTGCGCATTGATTTTATTGATCATGTGAAAGTTTAGTATCAGCAGTCACTCAAATCAACAGCTTCCAGTCTGTGCCGAACAGGGAGAACCACACGTCTTTGTTGTATGCACACCACAGACGGAGCTGCACTTTGGCATTTCCGAGTTCCGCTTTTTTCGTTCCATCAACATTACGTTATCAATTAACCTCTAAAAAAACGATTATTGACATTTGTGAATCGATTCAGAAGTCTGCATCGCAATGCATCTAAAAAATCAATTATTTTCCACACCCCTAGTCTACATTGTTTTTGATTGGGGGGACGGTAAGTGACCTGGATAATGGGTAGGGGGCCGTTGGCCCAAAAACTTTGAGAAGCACTGGTTTAGAGTAATAATGCTTTACTGTTATGTGACAACTTTTTCAGTCACGAGTAGTAGAAAGGATCGCCTTTTCAATACACCAATAGAGGGAAGTTTTTCAAACTATCGGCAGAACTTGGCTCTGATGGTGGCTGACAGCTGCCCAGTCCCCACTGGTCACGCTGGGAATTGCATCACCCCATAACCATTTATTGCATAGAGATATCGGCTGATTAATCGGCTATCTGCTTTTTCCATCTCCAAACTACCATTATTATATCGACCTTTAAAAATTGGGTCGACCTCTGCTACCTACCTTCACTTACTCCAACATTTTGGATGATGGTTTAGTCCCCCATCAGTTTCTTCTTGACTTTCTTTCACTTAGCTTAATGGTCTTTATGGCTAACTAGCCTCTGGAGCATGTAAGTTTCCTGCAGTTTCAGTGTATGGTTGTTTGGAGTGCTACGTGTAGCCACAGAGAATAATGTTAAGCCAACTGTTGATGGTCAGTATAAGCCTCCAACTGGTAGGCAAGCTGCTTGTTAAAATTGTCCTGCGGAGTTTTCTTGTAAACAAACAAAAGTTGTGTTTACATTGTCACTCACCAAAGTGCACTGCGCCTACTCTTGAGGTCTAACAAACATGTTGAATGCTTTTTCTTTCTTAAAAACATTTGCCACGGTGATATTTTATTTATGTTTTAACATGCAGTCCTTCCCCGCCTGGTGCAGTGCTGCCTTTCTTAGCACATTACAGCCACCTGTAGGTCAGTGGAGTAGAGTGGAACCATTGACGATACTGTATTGCATCCTTTTGTATGAGCACAAGGCAAGCAAAATGGGACGCACAAAAAAAAAAAAAATACTTCACTGTGGCACCACTAGAGGTCAGAGTCCACAAGGAGCCTTTAAATGATAAACTATATTAGTGTTGGTATGTGGAGGGTTGGAAGGTACCTTTTTTGAAACGTTGGACTGAGTAATGGAAAGTAATTTAACAAGTAATTAAATTACTTGTTCTGTTTCCTAATCAGGACATTATTATTGCTTTTTCTGATTGAAAATTAACAAGTAATTAATGACATTTTTCAGGTAAGTTCAGCACTGGGATGAACTCGTGTAGCTCAGTCTGGCTGTGGATCTGTTAAGCTAGAAATGGCAGGGAATGCGTTTTAGCAAAATGACGGGGAAGACATGCAGGCACGGCGATCGATGCATCTAAAGCTTCCTGCGTGTAATTGATTTGGTTTCCTCTTTTGCTAATGGTTATCAATGTTGTATGTCACTAGGAGAGAACCCACTTGCATTCCTGCGGACCCAGCCCCAGTTTCTGCACATGAGACAGGCCATCCAGCAGAACCCGGCTCTGCTACCAGCTCTCCTCCAACAACTAGGCAGAGAGAATCCTCAACTTCTACAGGTAACACGTTGAGAATTGTTCAGGCCACAAGCGCGGGCTACAATGCACGTTCTTGTTCACCCAAGCTGTTCATTTTGCCGGATCTCGATACCGTTACCTCTACTTATCTGTGCCTTTTCACCCAGCAAATCAGTCAGCATCAGGAGCTGTTCATCCAGATGCTGAACGAGCCAGTGGGAGAGGGAGGGGAGGCGCCAGAGGTTGGAGAGTTGGGGGCAGCAGGGGAGGAGGGCGCACCTGTCAACTATATCCAGGTTACACCTCAGGAGAAGGAAGCCATCGAAAGGGTGAGTGACAAATGAAGAGTAAATATTGCGCGCTGTTTAGAAGAGTTGCAAATCTTATTTATAACCCACCCCCCTCTCTTTATCTCTGTCTTGACAGTTAAAAGCGTTGGGTTTCCCTGAGGCTCTGGTGATCCAGGCCTACTTTGCCTGCGAGAAGAACGAGAACCTGGCAGCCAACTTTCTCCTTAACCAGGGACTGGAAGATGACTGAAAAGCCGAGCTCACTGCCTTCCTGCTCCTCCCTCCTACCCTGCCCCTCTTCAGCTCAGCATAAAGACTGCACCCCCAATTTACTGTACAGCTACCAACCTCAGCTCAACCCAACAGGAGGGGAGAGCCAGCAGGGGGGTGTGGGCGGGTGGGGGTGGGCTGGGAAGGGGAGGCGGGGGTGGGTTAGGGTATGGTGGGGTCACACACTTAAAGTACACAGAGGGGAGGTTGTGTGCAGGAAGGTCAGACTTGGATTATGGGAGGTCGGGGTGAAAAAGTGAGGAAGAATGATAAAATCCACGTGAATTCCAATGGAATGTGTAGGGTTTGTCTAGGGGAGACCTATAATTTGATTTTAGACGCGCTTTGTGAACATGAGGGAGGGAGGGAGGGAGGGAGGGGGGCGACAACAACGAGAGTGCTTGTGTCTGCGTGTGTGTGAGTACATGTCCGTGTGCCTGTGCAGATGGATGCAATACAGTTAAGCAGAAAAAAAAAGTAATCAATTTGCATTCTCTAAGTTTGTTAATGCTGTAGCTGGATTGTACGGAGGCACATCCTCCTCACTGCACTTCACCATTATCAGTGTGTGTAACTGCTTGTATGTACCTCTGTAAGCCTCATGTACGTACGTCCAAGGATGAAATTGGTGGTGATCGACTGGACAGCGCTGCCCTTTGTATGTGTCTGACATGATGTTGCTCGGGTCTATCAGTCTGTTTTGGTGGGGAAGAAAAAAAAACGGGAACTAAACTGACAAAATGAGTATCTGGTTATTCTGTTCACTTTGTGTATCCACCCTCATCTGTTGTTCCATGGTGGCTTCACAGATTACAGCCAATCCCCACATCCCTGAAAATGCTGTGCCCTCCCTGTTGGGTTACTCAAATGTGGAACTGTTTTGTCTATGCCAATAGCTTCTGGTGCTAATGAACACCCATAGAAATTTGCAACTTAAACAGATTTTCAAAGATTCTTTAAAATCTTTTGTCATTATGATTTAAAAACACAACAAAAGAAGGAGAAACTGAAATATCCACTACGGTGTAGTAGTGTTTACCTAATCCAGTAAAATTCTTTTAAGTTTTAATTGTTGGTTGCAACTGAATTTCCCCCCCCCCCCCCCCTCAGTTTACCAAGAGAGACCTTTTGATCAAGACAGCCCTCATCCTTAACTGTATGTCTATTTTAGTTTGCCGGGAGTTGACCCGCAGTATGTGGAAAGACGCATTTTACAAGATTAAAAGCCCACACTAGGTTCTTAGGTCTATATGCAAATGTATTGGCAGATAAATCAGTGTACTACTTGGTGAGGTTTAACTGGGATCCAAATCCATTTAAAATGTATTTTAGACTGCACATACTGTAACTTCTTATCTTTCGAAGCTGGGGAAAACTATAGTTCGAAGTTGAAACCATTTGATTTAGGTCAGAGTTCTACATTCTGAATAGAAGAAAGTGAGTAAAAATTAACTTCTCTGTTGTCTAAACCTTCTGGCACTCTTATGCTGCCCTGCATTATATGGCCAATCGTGCCAGTTAGACTCGGCTTCAAATGAGCATGTATGGGCGGAGTCAGAAGCGACAGCAAAGAGGCCAAACACCCGCCTGTCATTGGACTTACACATAGCAGCCACCTATTGATTTAGTTTCATATTCAAATATTTCAAGGCGTTTATTAATCATTTATTACACCCAATACACAATGTAACCATAATAATGTACAGTTAACTATTGCTGAGAAGCAGGGCTTTAAATGTGTCTTAACAAATGTGCACTCCTTTCAATCTGTTCCACAGTGTGCCACAAATTATACATAGATAAAGGCTACGTTGCATGTCAAGGCTTAACACACAAAACTGCTAATGCAGAGCAGTTCAAATCTATCACCATCGCACTGTGTGTGCAGATGGGCTGATTGTCCACTACGGATTACTGTATTATGAATCTCGTGGTAGTTGCTGGCCCGGCTGTGGTGTGTGAGATGGGGGTGTTTTGACTGCAAAGGTTCTCAAGTTTGATGCGGGTCCATGAACAGACAATAACTGTAAAAGAAAATAACTAAATGTCTTCAGTCTCATTCTGTATGTGTGAAGGCAGTTTTCACTGACAACTGTCCTACAGCATCAACATGATCTTAGACTATGCTGTGCTATATTAAATATCAGCAGTCTTTCAGGCCTTTGGTTGTTTGTGCCTCATTAGCAGCAGCATCACCTCACATTTTACTCCCTCTGAATGTACATACCAAACACTCACCGGGTCCACAGGGGCCCTCTAGTGGGGTAATCCAGCATGCAGTGGACACGAAGGGAACATCTATGGACACCACAGGTGTAACGCCTGCTGGAGTTTCCAGTTCACCTTATCTGCACATCTGAACTGTTGCTGGGAAACCAACTGCTGAAAACACACCACCACACATAAAGGCCTAAACCAAAGACTAGATCAAAGGAAAGGGTTCAAATGCTAAAATCTAAGTACCTTAATATTGAGAACCTTCATAGGCTAACTTCAGATCCCCCATGTAACTGGTGCCTGTTGGATCAAATGTAGGCTAATGCATGACTATGTTCTCTCCTTTGGAGCCTTAAAGTGGTCTGAAATGAATCATGTCTGGAAAAATGGTTCATTTCTGCCATCTTGAAAGTTTCCCGTAATTAGGGTAACATAAATTAAAAGATAAGACCCAATATATTAGTACATTGATTATCAATAGCTAAATGAAAATGCAAATTATGAATCTACATTTAGAGTGAGTTGTTTTTATTTATTATGCTGTACTTCTGCTTTCCCCTTGTAGTTACACAGATTAAAAGTTTAAGTTATAGTTATTATTATTAAGTTTCTGTAGTGAATTTGTTAGCAAACCGTTGTTTATTTAGACATCCAGCAGTTACAGAGCAACAATTTGGAGTTGTGTTTCTGTCCACTTGATGAATGTTAAGTCCATTATTCTCACTCATTATCTCATTATCATTCTTTAGCTCTGTTTTGCTCTCCACCAGTGCCTGAGGGAAATATCTGGCTCTTTAGCAGCACTATGTTCACCAGCTAGTCACTAACTGTGTCTCTGCTGTTTGGTGCTGAGCATGTAGTTTACAGTGGACTTCAGAGCTATTGAGTTGAATACAGCTGCCTGCTGCAACATGCAACAATGCTGATGAGAGCTGTGAGACTGAACCAAAACATCAATTTGAGGTCCATAAAACCAAAACAATTACCTAAAAGACGCTAAAAAGCTGGAGTGCTGAGGGGGACTGCAAACTGAATTGAGTGATCATTCTCGGGGTTCATCCCTAAGAGCGGCCCCTTATACATTCCACGTAATAATTTGACCTATTGTTCATACAAAATATCACTCACTGCAGCTTTAAAGGTGAATTTCTCTACTAAAAATCTGATAAACTAGGAATAGCAACAATCAGGTCGTTCTGAGTGATATTTTGCCTGGGATTGGCAGCCATTTCATTTGAATCGAATTAAAATAATCTCATTAATAAGTAGGAAAACAGACTTCTTGGACAGCCGCACTGAGAGAGGAAATTAAGATTCTTCAGGTTGTAACATTCGTTTTACATCAACAGTGGAACGGTAAAGGGTTCCAGATTACTGACTGTTTACTATTCCTTTTTCCTGACAAGGAAAGTTTACTTATACAGTATCTGTATAAGCACCAGTCGTTATGTTTAGTTTTTTTTCGCTATCAAAGTAATCTGGCCACTGGCGAGATATTATTGTTGGCGGGCCTATTGCCGACTACTGGCCTAGGCTATAAGAAGATTGCCAAGACCCTGAAACTGAGCTGCAGCACGGTGGCCACGACCATACAGCGGTGCAACAGGACAGCCTCCACTCAGAACAGGCCTCGCCATGGTCGACAAAAGAAGTTGAGTGCACGTGCTCAGCGTCATATCCAGAGGTGGTCTTTGGGAAATAGTCACAGTGCTGCCAGCATTGCTGCAGAGGCTGAAGGGGTGGGGGGGTCAGCCTGTCAGTGCTCAGACCATACGCCGCACACTGCATCAAATTGATCTGCATGGCTGTCGTCCCAGTAGGAAGCCTCTCCTAAAGATGATGCACAAGAAAGCCTGCAAACAGTTTGCTGAAGACAAGCAGACATGGATCACTGGAACCATGTCCTGTGGTCTGATGACACCAAGACAAACTTATGTGGTTCAGATGGTGTCAAGCGTGTGTGGTGGCAACCAGGCGAGGAGTTCAAAGACAAATGTGTCTTTCCTACAGTCAAGCATGGTGGTGGGAGTGTCCTGGTCTGGGGCTGCATGAGTGCTGCCGGCACTGGGGAGCTCTAGTTCATTGAGGGAAGCATGAAAGCCAGCATGTCCTGTGATGTACTGAAGCAGAGCATGATCCCCTCCCTGCGGAGACTGGGCCACAGGGCAGTATTCCAACATGATAACACACCTCCAAGACGACCACTGCCTTGAAAGAAGCTGAAGGCAAAGGTGATGGACTGGCCGAGCATGTCTCCAGACCTAAACCCTACTGAGCATCTGTGGGGCATCCTCAAACAGAAGGTGGAGGAGCGCAAGGTCTCCAACATCCACCAGCTCCTTGATGTCGTCATGGAGGAGTAGAAGAGGACTCCAGTGGCAACCTGTGAAGCTCTGGTGAACTCCATGCCCAAGAGGGTTGAGGCAGTGCTGGAAAATAATGGTGGCCACACAAAATAATGACACTTTGGGCCCAATTTGGACATTTTCATTTAGGGGTGTACTCATTTTGTTGCCAGCGGTTTAGACATTAATGGCTGTGTGATGTGTTATTTTGAGGGGACAACAAAATTACACTGTTGTAAAAGCTGCACTCACTACTTTACATTGTAGCAAAGTGTAATTTCTTCAGTGTTGTCACATGAAAAGATTTAATCAAATATTTGCAAAAATGTGAGGGGTCTACTCACTTTTGTGAGATACTGTATATAACAAAGACACACATTATCAGTGGACAAGCAACCTAACCAGACTGGGAACGTCTGGACTGAACCTAACAGCAGTTAAAACTAGCTGCAATACTGAAATGCTGCTGATACATTGATACATCATTATACAATTTAATAAGGTAAAACATGATAATGGAACAGCCAAAGGGGTCACAAGTACTTTTACTTTGAATGTTTTGGGTACTTGTTTTACTTTGAGTGTTTTTATACTGCGGTATTGCTACTTTTGCATAAGTAAAAGAATCTAAACACTTGTTCCACCACTGAAATGACACAGTAATAATCACAACCGAGATAAGCAAGATACAGTCAAGAACATCCTTTTATTCAATCAAGTAAAGGGGTTGCTCTCTTCAAACTGTGTTTTTTTCATTATTATTATGGAAAAGAAACTGTAATTAACACATGCATTTCACCATGGGCTCTGGGGGTGTGTGTTTAAGGATGGGACACTGCTCTGGGAGTGGAGGAGGAGGAGGAGGAGGAGGAGGAGCACCCGTGGCGGGAGGGGCTACAGGCCAGAGGCAAAGGGTTAGGCCCACATCACTAAACCCAGCTCAGCATCCTACGAAAACGTGTTCAAAACGAAACAAAGGAAAAAAAACAGCGGACGGTTCGGCCACAGGGTCCGACTGGGCTCTTTGAACGGTGCAGGGACAGACACACTCCCTCAGCAAAGCTCTTTCTCTCTCTCTCTCTCTCTCTCACACACACATACACACACACACACACCTCTCTCTCTCTCTCTCTCTCTCTCACACCCACCCACACACACACACACTCTCTGCAACCTGTTCATCTCTGATATGGCTTCTCGACTGTGGCTCTTTCACGTGTCAAGGCTTGATTGATAATACTGCTGCTGGCTTCATTTGCTAGATGAAAGAAAAATAACAAGTTGCATATTTATAATTTTTCTTTTCTTTCTTGCAGGGCAAAAATCTGTAATCGCTTGATTTTGCTGGTGGCATTTCAAGGTGCTTTCTCTATTAGTCACCAAAGTCTTCTAGTTTTGTACAACTTTTGGAACCATATCACTTTGGTCAACGTGTCTCTCCAACACTGCGATTTAGAACGGCGGTGAATCGATGCAACTTTGTGAACACTCGTTATGTTTGTGCTAAATCTGTGCCTTGCGGTCGCCATCATGGTGTGGAACCAGTCCGCTTATAAGGTGCTTCGAGTCATGTTCATTTTTTTACCTTTTTTTAAAAATGTTTTTTTTTTAAATAGCTGGTCTCATTCAACCACTAGAAAGGTGCATAATTGAAGGTTTTAACGCAGCATCTTCCTGCTGCCTAAGATATGCAGTAACAATGACAAAAAAAAAAAAAGAATCAAAAAGCTAATCCAAATTCAATTATAAAAAATAATAGATAGAAACAAGGATTACAAACAAACCTGCCTATACTAGCAGTCCTATTGGTCATCTCCCTCGCCTAAGTCCTAAAAAAAAGGGGTTCCCTTGAGTACTCCTCCTCACCTCCAACCAAGTGACTTGTCACTGACTGCCCCCCCCCTCCCCGCCCCACAGGAGAACAACTCCCTGACCTCAGCACAGCCCAGAGCCCCGTGGTGTAACTTGTTCACTTACATTAGCTGCTGAGTGGAGAAGCTGAAGAAGATGGGTATGGTAATACAATGTGAAGCGTACAGACAAGAATAACATGTGAGCTAACTGCATTCTGCTCAGACAAAAAAAATCTTTGCGTATTGTTTTTTTTTTTTTTAAAACCCCGCCGTTCAGAGAAAGGGAGAAAAGGAAGGGGGTGGGGGGGTGGGGGGGTTACGCGGCTACAGACTACTCCAGTGTCCAAGATAGACAGAAGACAAGATACAGAGGAAGAGAAGCAAGACAGAAAATATGTTTTTGTTTTTTTTGGGTGTTTTTTTATGCTTTTCATAATTATTCAACAATAAAAAGAGGAACTAAATCACACCAATTTCCTTTAGTACTATGTATACTGCTTTAAAAAGCTTGAAGAAGAGGAAGCGAAAGATATAGAAGTATGAAGGAGGGGACTTTTTTTATCTTTTGAGATGGGCACTCAGGATTACAAGATGGAATCTGTGAACAAAAGGCACTTTTTAGGGACAACCTTTAAGATGCTCTGAGTCTAAAACACTACATCACCAAACAAATATTTATACTCATTTACAGTGGGAGATGGGGATTCGGGAAGGTTGGGAGGTGGTGGGGGAGGGGGTTCTCTTGAATCTATGACAGCAGACCAGCTGAGCAGACAGAGGCCGCTTATTCCCTCTCGCTGAACCAACTAGACATTTACACCAACATCAGCTTTCTTTTTCTTTCTTTGCAACGGGAATCCATATTTGTGCATCTCCCAAATTGGGGAAGATCTTGTCTTTGTCCCAAATTAGGATCACTGGAAAGAAATTTGCATTTAACAAGATGTTTTTTTTCTCTCCTAGACTTTTCCTCTGCTATGGTGTAAAGGTTGGAGGGGGGGGTGGGGGGGGGGGGGGGAATGCCTTTTGTCACGACAACCTTTTCATACAATGAACCCCTCCCCCCACGGTAAATACAAAAAGAGAAATAGAATAATGCATGTTTTCCTAAAATTGTCTTTTATGATAACACTTAATTTCGTTTATTAGTATTTATGTATAATAGAGATTGAATGTACTTTATTCTTTACGAAAGCACCAGTTTTCATAGTGATATATTTTATGAGTTGCAAAATTGTTCCTTCAGCCCTCCCACATTCTGAAAACAAATCATTAGAAATTAAGTTTTTTTTTCTTTAAAAAAAGTGATAAAAGGAAAAACAAGAAACAAAAAGGAAATTAAAAACAATTTCCCCAAAACTTACTTACAGAGATTGGGATTCTTTTCTCGCTGCCCTTGTATTTAGAGTCCCAGAGCACATGGACTTGAAAAACGACAAAAAAAAAAAAAAAAAAAAAAAATCTTAGGAGGGGTTTTCCCTCTTTTCTCGTGACACCCTCAGACAAACAAACACAATTCCTCTACCAAGGCATTGCACATGGCTCAATCAACATACATCATTTAGTTTCAAGAACAATACTTTCCATCAAAACAAGAAAGAAAACAACAAAACCTAATCTGTTCTTTTTTTCCCCTCAACTACATTATCATCACTGTCTATGTATCTATTGTTGTGTTTGCCGTGGATTTTCTTTTAAGTCATTTAACATGAGTGTGGGTTTAGAGACTTGAGCTCTAAATCAGCGGATGATTTTGAGATGCATCCTATGACTGTGCGATGTACGCCATGCTTCAAAAAATAACTAGACTGCCACAGAGCTTATCTTGCAAATAAAAAAAAATGTATATATCTATAAATATATATGTGTATTATATATAAAGATGCTTGCGATTATCTAGTGAGCTGTCACTGTTTTTTCCCCCTCTCCTGACATAAATTTTTCACCATTCGCTATAGCTTATATGTGAGAAAAAGAACCTGAATTCATGTTTGACAAATTGCATAATGGGAATACAGAGGCACTTCCATAGATTAGAAAAGAAATCACCTTAGCCATCGTTAATGTCTTACTCAGCAGAGCTAGTTCTCTCTACGAAGCTGATGAGATGGTCGCCAGTCGGTTGGCCAACTATGTTGTGTTTCCCTGCAGTGAAGAACGTGGCCAGGCAGTCCAGTTATTTTGTGAGGTTGGATGGGGTGATTTAAATTCAACTTTTAACAGGAAATAACTGAATCAGTCAGAATGTGCATGGGCTAATGATATAAAACGATTCAAAGCATAAAGGCCTCCTCAGATTGTCTATTTTTAAGACTTCCCTTTGAATTCAGTCGGACACAGGGGACGTGTTTGCACTAATAGTGAGTGGTCTTTATAAGTCTGTGTGTGTTTAAGGAGTGGCGATCTGTGTTCTACTTTTGTTTCCATCACAGTGCTACATCCACTGATTTGAAACACTAAGTGGTGGAAACTCGCTTGGTTGGCTGGCATGATTGTTTTAGTGCAGTTTTGATCATTAAGGGCTCATCGATTCACAATAGCTAGCGGGGAGTGCTGGTGTGTGTTTGTTGGGGCGGGGGGGGGTGTCACCATAGCAACCGATATCCTTTACCTGATCTTGTGCACCGAAACAAAAATGGGCACATGGGCGTTCCTCCTACTGCTAGCCTTAGAGGCCCTCATTCTCTCTCCGAAAACAGCCAGATATGTCACATATTCATTTTGCTCCACAGTGTGGCTCCCTCTGCTCTTGGAGCAGCGGCCCGTCTGGGAGTGTAAACAACAGGGTAAACTTTAGGGAGACAGAAAGAAGAGCTGTTCTCTCTTTTGCTCTGGGTCCCACCTTCAGCAACCTTCCCTCCTTCACTCATATATCACCACCGGTCACCAGCTGTACCTGGGTCAAACAGTAGATGTGGCGTGAAGTATTTTAGCTTTTTGTAGACCTGTATGGTTCAGCAGGCAAGTTCCCAGAAAATAAGCTTCCTGTGATTGTCAAAACCCTGCATTGTGTGGTCTTCCGGTACAGTATGTGGAAAGTAGTTTTATCTGGCACTGACGACAAACAAACCACGTCGCAGTTTGACATTTTCGGAAAATATTCTTATTCGCTTTCTTGCCGAGAGTTAGACAAGAGGATTGACACTACTCTCATGTCAGTCCGTTAAAGATGAAGGAGCTGTGTAGTTAGCTTAGCTAAAAAACTGGAAACAGGGAAACAGCTAGCCTAGCTCTTTTCAAAGGTAACTAAATCTGCCTACCAGCTCTTCTAAGGCTGTGCAACTGTGTTGCAAGCATCATTATCATTTAAACACTTCAGTTCTTGTACATAAAAAAAACAAACAATATGTTAACATAATTAACATCAGGTTTAGAGGTGTTGGTTTGCAGATTTTGTCACCTACGAAAAGAGCCAGACTAGCTGTTTCCCCCCAGTTTCCAGCCTTTATGCTAAGCTAAGCTAACTGGCTGCTTGTGGTAGCTTCTGATTCAACGTGCAGAGATGAGAGTGGCATCAATCTTGTCATCTCACTCTCGGCAGGAAAGCGTATTTCCCCAAATGTCAAACTGTTCGCATGTACTATGTGATCCAGGTCAGCTAACCACCCTGTGTACGCCGCATCAACATCCCAACTCTTACTGTGTTTCTCTATAAGGTGCTGTCATTCAAATACAAAACAATTATAAAATAGTACAAATCCAAAAGGAATAAAATCAAATAAGAGAACACACAAGCGATAACAAAATCATTCATCTACATCACAAGAGGGCAAAGGGGGAACCAATAGCTGCGGCCTATCGTTGTGACAACTGTCAGTAACGATGTACTCACACTGGGATTTTCAGTGTGTGTGTGATGTTTGGATATCTAATCAAATAGGTAGCGAGAGTTCACTGGGCTTACTGTATGCATATAAAATAAAAATATGATAACACAACACCACCACCTATGAATACTACAATCTAAAAGGTCTGACTGGGCAACTGTGTGTGTTTTCAATATACATGCTGTGGTCATGGCACAAATCGTGTGATCTTTGTGAGTGTGTGCTGCGCGGGGAGATCTGAGAATGGGCGGAGGCCAATGATTTGTCAAACTGAACGAAGGGGGTCGAGGACACATTAAAGGCTTCTTGTACCTCGGTTTTTCCTCTTTAAAACTCTTAATAGGCAAGTGTGGTTTACCTCCCATGCCTTGTAGGTAAATAGTGCACATCGTTAAGATTAGTGTTAATTGATTCAGCTTCTAGTGCAACCCTTAATCAAGATATGTTTTGGCATAGTCTCTCTCTAGTTAGAGTCAATGGTCATTCAGAGTGAGAGAAACATTGGTCAATTTGATTTTGTTTTGGGTGATGACAGACATCACAGGAGCATGGACTGCAGCTTAGATTGGAAACCAAATAGTGTCGTTGCTTTGATCAAGCAGTGGATTCATTGTGGGTGAAGCTTTGTAGCTTAAATGTTAGATCTGTGATGTGAAAACCTTTTATTTTTTGGTTTTTGGACAGTTGATTTTCTTAGCCGTTTGTTACGCGTCCTCACGAAGTAGGAGAAGTTGACTGCTTTTTCATCCTCAGGTTCCTCCTGCGTTGCTGCCGTGTTGTGCTGGTTCGGTGGTTTCAGGAGAGATGCCTGCTTGCTGCTGTTTGTCCCCTTACCCCTTCTCCCCTCCTGGCATCCTCTTGTCCATCCATTCATCTTTCCGTCTATCCATCTTTGCTCGAAACGGGTCCTCCCTCTGACTGGGTAAATGAGTCCAGAGTTCCTCTAAAGGCGCCACACTGCTGTAATTTCCTGCATTTCCTTGCTTGGCTGTATTTTGTATCTGTTGAGATGTACTGTCAGGGCCGGTCGGTGGGTTGGTTGGAGGACAGTTATTATCCTGTGGGTTGTTTCTCTGTTTTTCTACTTCTGATTGTAAAGAAAGAATTGTAGTTGCTGGTTTGTACACATGTCTTGTCAGAGGAACCAAGACTGAAAAAGAAAAAAGGGATAGAGTGGTGGGGAACGAGATGTTAGTATCAAAACCAGTACATTGTGCATACACAAGTAGTGGACAAAAACACCATACAATACAATTGAATAGACCGCAATTTGGTGAGTTTGAGCACTTCCATTGCTTGGAGGGATATATGACTCTCCTGGCTCAGCACAAAAGGTGACCCACTGGGAATTTACAATATGGAAAACTCTATGCTAGTCTGCTAACATGTTCAATGTGACTACTGATGTTTAGCAGCTAAAACTGACCAGATTTACCATCTTAATTTAGGCTGCTAGCCTTCAAACGTTTGCTAATTCGCACCCAACACAAAGCACAGCATTAATTTTGCATAAACCAAAGCTCTGGTCAGTGGATCCACCGAAATTATTGAAATTTATTCCCTAACAGCACTGAATAACTTTTCTAAAATTTCACTGCAATCCATTCAATGGTTGGCAAGATATTTCACTTTGAACTATAAATGTAAATCTCATATTGGCACAAGACAAAAGCGAGTAGGATTCATGCTCTGGGGAACACAGATGTCTGTACAAAATGTCATGGCAATCTATTAAACCCTTGCTGAGATATTTCAGTCTGCACCAAAGTGGTGGACCAACCAACCATCCCTACAGCCACATCGCTGGGATGGCTAGTAAAAAGATGTAATGTGGCAACAAGGAAATATATTAGAACTCACTATGACAGATGCAAACTACTGAAACCGCTATACTGTTGAGTGTCTTTGTTCTATTGTCCCTGAAAATGACTCTGTACACTGTCCTGACCTGTAGCCACTAGAAGTTCCTGCAGTTCTTGAATACAGTGAGTGACAGAACAGTCATCTGGGCCACCAGTCCAGCTACCATCAATTCTTTCCACTTCTGGAGTGAAGCACGGTATGTCTTGAATTTGGCCGTGCAGTGAATGGCTACTAATGGCCAGGCAGCAGCAGGGGGATAGCAGTCTGGCGCTCCCTCTCACTTGTACTGTCTTTACGTTGGGTTTCTCCCACTCAGCGTGAGCAGGGAGCAGAAATGGGTCAGCGTCACTGTTGTTGGCTGCCCTGCTTGGCCTGCAGGATCTGGCACTGTGGACTAGTGTGCCAACATTCTACAAGTCAAGCCTTGGAAACTACTCTGAACCTCCAGGGAAGCAGCCTTTTGTTTTGTTTGACTCTAACAGGTCGCATGAATACCCCCCTTCTGCCTCCTGCACTTCTCAGCTACCCTACTCCCCTGGGCACTGTCCCAGCAGACCTTGGGCATTGTGACTTCTCCCCTTCTTAGTTACTCTCCCTCTCTCTCCTTCTGTGTACGCACACACACACAATCCATCTATCTCCCATGAACACTCCCACTAAATCCTTGGCAGCAGACAGTGACCACCCTCTTTTCTTTCCTGCCTCCCACCTTCTCCCCCCTCTCAAGCAACCCCTTCTCAAATTCAAGATCAACTGGCTATGACATCATGTCTGGTTGCTGGGGGTAACGAGACGGCCGGGACGTGACTTCTATAAGGGCCGAAACTCTGTTGCTCCGTCCCCTCCATCTCCCTTCATTTCCTGCTCCGTTGGTATCTTGTTTCCCCCCTTTCTCCCGTGGTTGCAGTGTTTCAAAATTTGCCACTAGAGGGCACAAGGAGCCCACTGTTGTCAGCGCGAGAGGTTCTCCAGCTTGTCCTGTAGTCACCACTTTTGACATGCTATTTGTCTTGTAATCTATCATTTTTTTTCAGTGGATCATTAATCTTTTTGTGTCCTTCTCTGAAAGGCACATGCAAACAATTAATGCTGTGTGTTTTGGTTCTGCTTTGAAAAGTAAAAACATACTTGAGACATTATGTCCCACTCAGTATTAAACATCAATGAGCTGTTTAAGAAAAAGACGGGCTTAAATGCCAAAAGTATTTAGATACCCGTGCCCATATACTTTTATTTCTTTTGGTGTAGGACTATTTTTCATGGTTTGGTCTAGGCCTCTTAGCTCAAATGAAAAGAAGTTTCGACATGAGGGTGCCCCCGAGCACGAATCCAGTTCAATAAAGAAAGAGTTTTCCCAGTACTACACCTTTAGGATGAATTGGGACACTGGCCTTGTCACCCAAAACCAGTGCCTGACCGCACTTTAATATGTTGTGGCTGAATGAGGGCCCTGCAGACAGGTTCAGAAACCTACTACTTTTGGCCTCACAGTTTATTATGTTGTGTATAACTTAGAAGGGTCCAAAAAGTATTCAATTCAGAGTTAAGGTATATTAGTAACAAAGAAGGCATTGTGAAGAAGAGTAAGAAGAAAAACGTAGGTGTGAAAAGTGGTGAGAGTGAGAAAGAGAGGAAGGGGAATGAAGAGTGTAACGAGCGGAGAGGCAGAAAGGATCAGGAATGGGGGAAATGGAAATGGAGGAAAAGTAAAAGAACAGAGGGCAGAGAAACAAGGGAGGGGATCAGCCGAGCAGTTTCAGATGGTTTCCATGTGTTGAGGAGCAGGGCTGAGCTGGCTCCAGGTGGGTGTGGTTGGACACTAATGAGAAAAGTACTGCGGTAATGGAGGAGGCATATGAACGAGGCGCAGAGTGGTGAAGGGAAGGAACGAAGAAGGTGAGAGAGGGAGAAAGTAAAAGGCAGAGACAGAGAAAATGAAGGGGAGAGAGGAGTAGGACAAAGCTAAAAGGAGAAAGCAAGTGAGGTAGAGAAGGGGGGTTTGGCAAGAAGAAGAGGAAATGAGAGGTAGCAAGGAGAGTGAGTGAAAAAGGCAGCAAGGGAGAAGACCTGTTGCCTGAAGGGTAGGCTCCATATGTGCCAAATAAACAGTTGAGCACATATGGTAAACCACGCACGTACTGTAAAATACAGATGTACATATGCACACATTGATGGTGCGCTGTGGGATGGTGCGAGAGGAGAGGTGGAGGAAACTTAGCAGCAGGTTTCAGGGAGTGAGGGAGTAAGAAATATTTTGGCGTACATCCACACAGTTAATAAGTTTCCTGAGTTTGACTGGTAATCACAGTCAAAACAGACGATTTCCTCCTCACTTTTACACACAAACTGACAAACTGTCAGTCCATCCCGGACTCCTACCTGTGTCTGCTGCGGGATGTTCAGAAAGTTGTTGTCCCGTGATCCGATGCCGACAAACCTGTTGGGAGCTGTGGCGCCTGGCGTGGAGTATGCTAGAGAAACAGAAGAAGAACAAAAGAAGACATCAGTGCGTACTCAAAGACACCTGGCACGTTTACAATAATTACATCCTGGGGAATATGCGTATTCACTTTCTGCAAGTTAGATGAGAAGACTGATACCACTCCCATGTCTGTACAGTGAATACGAAGCTACTGCTAGCAGCCTGTTAGTTTAGCTTTGCAAAAGCCTAAAACAGGTGGAAACAGCTGTCCAAAGGTAACAAAATCCACCTGCAAGCAACTGTAAAGCTCACTATTTAACCCAGTCCTAAGCTAAGCAGCTGCTGGCAGTAGCTTCATATTTATCGTACGCATGTGAGAGAGAACTATTTCTTTAACATGTACTAGCATACAGTAAACCTACTTAATCACTGTTGTTAAATAAAAAAAAACATATTAATTAATTTAGTACTACAGAAAGCACTTCTATATTTCATTGAGGTCACCAAAACTCCACAGAGAAGTCTGCCAAAATCTGGTATGCCAACTTAGATCTCCCTGAGTGATTAAATCCTGTTGATAAACTCAGTTGGAAGTGATTGAGCACACCAGAATCCTGACATTGAGGATCAGTCAGGGACAGTTAAAACCCACTGGCATCAAAGTCTATGACAAATTTAGGGCAGTTTGAGGTACCCTACGGACTCCAGCATTTGAATCTCACTGAGGGATTCAGGATGCAGTGTGTGGACTTGCGCATATGTGGGTCTGTTTGTGTGGAGAAAAGGGAGGAAGGACAAGAAGGAGAGGGACAGAGAGAAAGAGAATTTGGAGATTTATGTGTATAGACATACACAGTATACATCCATGTGTTTCTAAGAATTGGAATAACATACATAAGACATAAAAGACTTTGAGACACTGACTGGGGGATAAAACGCAAACACTAAATTTGAAGGAAAGCTAAAAACAAAAAATTAAAGTGCTCCATCCAGTGCCCCTTCTATCACAGGTGAGGAAGACAAATGTACAGTGAGAAAAGCCCCACGGTTGGACTGACCCTTCACCTTAGAAACACACCATATTCTGCTTAACAACCACCAAACAAAAGAAAATCCCACCAAGAAGCTAAAACCAGCTCAACCAAAAACAAGCATGAGTAACAGGATTTTTCCACCAACGCCCCAATTTCTACTGGAATGTTTTGGAGTCCATTTAAATTAACTGCCCCAAATTTGTGCTCGTCACAAGTAAGAATCCATTAATTTTTTTAATTTTATTTTTAATCAAATTTTTCACAAGGTTTGCTATTGAGTCCAGCAGGGAAGAAAAGAGGCTTTAGATGGAGAAGAGCTGGGTTGGAGATGCAGCTTCCACACCAGAACGCACAAAGGGCTCAAAACGTAGAGTCACTCAAACTGATGGGGCCTAATACAGAACCCCGATGAGCACCACATCAGTCCATTATGAAAAATATTTTTCACCAGACCTCTGGTGGTCTTGCTCTACTCTACTGAGCTCCACAGGTTATCCTGTGCCGGCTTCCATAGCCTTCCAAGGGTTAAAGGAGGTGAGATGTTGGATACACAGGAACAATGATGGCACGAAGTTGGAGGAAGAACAATGGCAGGGGTCTTTTCACTGGAGAGGGTTGGGATTTTCAGATTATTATCATTTTTTGGTTGGTTTGGTTTTGAGATACGGTCTCTGCGGGGTCACTTACACGGAGATGCGGGCGAGGAGAGTCCGCCGTCAGGGGGCGTGCTGTTGGGTTTAGAGTCGGGCATAGGGAGGGGCACTGGGCGGGCCACTGGGGGAGGTGGAGGCAGCAAGAAGGAGCCTGGCATTTTGCTCTGGCCGCTCCCGTTTGGCTGCAGACAACACAAATAGGGTCAGGAGGGCGACATGCGACAATCCGCAGACACGGAATGAAAAGAGGACGCAGCTCGGGAGGCCAGGTCCCAAAAAATATCCATGACGGAGGGGGGGAGGCGATGGTGGAAGGAGGGAGGGTAGGTGGTGGGAAACAACAACCAAAGGAATGATGTATGTGGACGGCATCTTTTATGGAGGTGTGAAAAATAATAATCACCACAGGGTTTGATAGGAGTGGGAGCTAGAGCTTGAGGTGAGAGGTTCCACAGGGGTGGTCCGTGGTGTGTGGAGGAGTGGAGGAGGGAAGTGAGCAAATTATTGACTAGGTTCGTCCAGAAGATGGCAAGAAATCAAAACCATGGGAGAATACTCGTCTATACAAGCACAACACCACCAACGATACCAGCACCAAACAACCAAACTCCAACTAAAATTTGTCACAGCTAGAGATGAAAACAGAAACACGATGACACAACACAGGACAGGTATGCTTGACTGAAGTGTGCCATGACTGATTTACTCTCGTGCTGATGGCTGTAATTTCTAAGGGGTTGGGTGGAGCAAAAAAAAAAAAAAAGGGGTGGGAGGAGGAGTGGGAACGTCGGGGTCTGAAACGGCAAACGGCAAAATGACATCGACAAGACAATACAAAGATTTGTAGACTGAATAAACAAATGTCTAGTGTGTTCACTTGTGTTGCAGTTGGGTGCATTTCTGTATATTGTATGTAGATGTATAACATCATAAGTAAGCTTTTGGCATGCACAATCTATATATAGTATGTATACTATAGTAACATTGAATTGTAGAGCAATGAAAAATTTCAGATTTGTAGAGTGAGCCGGCATTGCTATTGGCTTTTCTATAAAAAGGCACAAATATGGAAGCAAAAAGAGGCATAAACTGACATTTTACTTGCCAGTAAAATTAAAACATCCTGGCTACCAAGGATCAATCAATTGCTATTAGGTTAGGGAAATGCCCAGACATTTAGCCTAACTGGAAACCTTGGACACTGGAATTATCAGAATTTGTAAGCCAGAATTTCTTTTTGAAATTTGAAAAAACGCACATAAAGTTGGAGCAAAGATATATTTAAATGCTATAAATTCACTTTTATTAAAATTTCAACAGTACTTATTCAGTCTCCGCTAAATTTCACAATTAGGTATACAGTTAATATTTATTATTTTTATTGTGGCACTTTTTTGCTTCCATACAAACTTATTTTCCACTATTGTTCTTTATTTTTCTACTTCCAGTGGTCTGTTGGAATATCTTCTAACTGCTCACACTTGCAAGATACATATACTGTTACTATCCTGGAATGCTAATGCAAGCTAGGCGCAGGGTGTGGCAGATCTGCAGTTTCTGTAGAAATGGGACGTTTATAAATGTAACGGTGTTCATCCTCTCTGGCAGATAGCCTTACCTGTCCGGCGGCCTGCCCCGAGCCATCAGCACAGACAAACTGCACAAATTCCTTCAGGGGGTCCTGTCCAGGGTGGTGGTGGTAGCGGATGGTTGGGTGGGTGAAATAAGGGCTAGACTGCTGGATGATGGAGGGAGAAGGAAAGTGCAGGGCCGAGGCTGAAGCACGGGGACTCCCTGCAAACAGAGACATTTGTATCAGAGGAACACAAAGTGGAGACAGAAGCAGAGAGCGAGAGGGAGACATGAACCACTGAATTCCTACACATTCTTACAGATGTGAGCGATGTATTAAGTGATTAAAGAATGAAAGCAAGAATATCACACCTCAACTGGAAACGATAAAGTATAAATCTGGTTTTAAAATGTCGTACATGAAAGGAATGTTGTTTTTCCAAGAAAAGCTGATTTCGAGTTAATAGCCAGTATGGCCTTTGCTCATAATATTTTATGATCACTCCAGTAAATCTATACAGCTTTATGGAGGCGATTTACACACACACACACACACACACACACACACACACACACACACACACACACACTGCATTCATATGTGCACACTCACAGAGGCTACATAACAATTTAAGTCAACATCATTCAGACTTGTACACAGTCAAACACTGCACACCCCTGAATGTGCACAAATTCAATAGAGGCAAGCGCTATATTTTGAATTCAGATCCAAAGAGCTTGAAAAAAGAAAAAGCACAAAGAGACTGAGTACTGTCTTAAATTAGCTGGTCTTAATGCCTGCACGCCTGTGTGCTGCTTTGAGGGTGTGATTCATTGGCGTTGATGCAATTTGGCATCGACGGACGGTAAAGCCGTTTTTTTATCTGACTCATTTTGTTTCTATGACAGAACTAAAATGTATGTTCACACTGTATGTCTAAGATGATGTTTTTCTGTTAATGGGCTTTAGAGCTCATACCTGAAAATGTGTGTGTGTGTGTGTACAACAGGTGTGGCGATGCAACACATTTGACTGTTAATAAGCTTATAAAAAATGATTCCTTCTTTTTGCTTTACAAGAGAGTAAAATAGAGGAACTCGCATCAAACAGAGCTGAATATATGTGAGAGGGGAGCAGTTGGTTGAACCCTACCACCAAACACAAAGCCCTCTCTGTCAGACCTATATCCATTACTAAATCTCCTTCATTTGTATTAGAAGCCTGTTCTCCTCTTAGCTGTGCCAGTCTGACACCCACCCCATCCCATCCAGGCCCCCCAGCTGCCCATGTTGGGCTGCCAACAGTCTTTGGTGCTTGCATCTTATACATTGTGTGTGTGAGTGTACTTCATGAGTGCGCCAAACCCGCTGCATAACCCCCCAGACAGGGGCCTATGCCTCTGAGCCCAGCAACACCTTGCTCCCATGCCAGGCTGCCTGCTCCCCAGTGGAGCTGTCTCCCTGCTTCTATTAGTCCCCTACTAATCCCATTAGAGACTGGGTGAAAGCCAAACACTCTTGGGGTGCGGGGGTTTGGGATGGGGTGGGGTGAGGCAGGATGGGAGGGAATCCCAACACCCCTGCTTTCTCTATCTAGCACAGTGGTTCCCAACCTTTTTTGTCTCATGTACCCCCCACAGCCTTGTCAGATGAACTCAAATGCGCTCTTTTGAATTGAGTGAATTGAAACTGGATAATACTGAACATGATATATTTTTTTATACAACTGAACTGTCAATGTTTGTGTCTGTTTGGTCAAGTTTGTATTTGTACTACCTCCTCGGAGTGGCATAAGCCAAATGTTTCAACTATTTATCCATTACGTTTACCTAAATATTTCACTCCTTTATTTATTACTTTCAACCACTTATCCATTACATTCACCAATACTGAAAGTGTTTATTCATCATCTCTTCCAGACATTTTTTTTTAGCAAGCAGTGTAAACTTCCCTGCTGGCTCGCTAAATAGTTTTGGCACACAACATAGTGCACAGTGGTTAAATGCTACTGTGGCACAGTGGTTAGCACTGTCACCTCACTGTCAGCCTTTCTGTCTGCCCTGTGATTGAGTGGCGACCTGTGCAAGGTGTACCCCACCTCACGCCCATTGTCAGCTGGGACCAGATTTAGCCCCCCATGACCCTCTAGTGGGTATCATATCTAATGGATTGAGGGAAATTGTGATTTTACACAATCTTTCACAAAGTACTCCCTGGCAATTGCAGAAGTTCCCATGGGGCATGTGGACCCCTGGTTGGGAATCTCTCCTCTAGAGGGAGGACGGCGGAATATGGTGGGAGGGATAAACCACTCCTGACAACACCACCACTGTGAGTGGCTACTCGTGCTCCTCAACCCCACTTCTCCAAGCCCTAAATCATCTTAGATCTTGTCTTTCAACAGAAAAACAACAACACTGATGATGTGGTAAGCACTTTCACGGAAGCGTGGGTACAGCTCCAGCTTGCTCATTGCAAGAGTTTGTGTAAAAGGAAACAAATCACAACTGAACAAATCACAACTGCTGGCCACAACAAGGATGGGATATTGTGTCTATGTGCTCATGTTAGCGTGAACATGGATATGCATGTGTGGAGATTGGATTTGCTGTAGCTACACCTAAAGAGGCATAGGGTCTGTCAGGAGGGTTTAATAACACGGCGGTCAACCTCATTGCTTCACATCTGCTTGGTGGCTTAAAAAGCCTTTGATGTAGCCAAGCTACAAACTAAAGCACATGGGTAATTATCTCCAGTGAGCTCCTTCACTGGGTGAATTCACAGACGTGCGCTTTCCAAATAGAAGAGGAAGTCTCTTTTTCGATCTGTACCGTGATGAGTGTGATGATTTATTGTTGGAGCCCCTTTGGCTCTGTTTGATATCTGATGCTATCATGAGCCGCTTGTTTCAGTCTGGTGGAGGATGAGCTGCTTCACACAGCGACTCAGAGCCTTATTTTCCACCATTCCAAGTATGACTAAAGATACGTGCTCACCCACATTGAGATCAATTTGGTGTTCCCACAAAAATGATTTATATCATCATTTGTATTATATTTCTATTGTGGAATATTACAAGACTCTATGTTTTCTGTGTGGTCATTTGATTGAACACACATGAATGTAGGAACAAGGTATCAGTATCATCTTCAAACAAGATTTTGACAGGGAGCCTACTGAAGATGGGCCCCCAGTTATTTAGTACTGTACTTCCATAAAGATGGGGGTTCATGAGAGACTGATTAAAGAAATGTTTAAAATCAAAATAGTGGAGCAGAGATGCTGCACGTTGACTATCAGTCTCTAGTTATAGATCAAGTGCCAAGAAAGTTGGACCCATAATGCAACTCAATAATGTCTTTCATTAACTCCCCGCCTCCTAAAGGCCCACCTCTTTCAAACCCCACACATCCAGTTTGTAACGCTGGGTTAATGGTAAAATATTTAATCTTTCCTGTCGAGATAACCCTGATGACATCAGTATGACATCATCGGGGTTATTTTATTCACGATGGAAAGCTCTCTTCAGAGCCACAAAATACTTTACAGCAATACATTAAGCTGTTTTCACAGGCCGAACAGTAATAAGAACACTGAATTTCATGTGTAAAATTGATGGTGCACCTTTAATAGTGCCCCTTTAATTGTATGTGTAGAGCATTCAAGTAGTATAATTAACATCACTTACCAACTTTCCACCAAGAGGTCTCCACCATAATTCACAATCGAACAGCGGCTCAGCCATCCCTTATTAATCTTATATCTTTAATTATAAACGACTTCTTTCTTATTAGAAATTTTGCATTTGAGGTTATTTGTGCACTTAAAATTACCTTCGTAAGTCTCCATTTTCTGCTAACTTCTTTCAAGTTTCAGAAATATTCTAAAAATAAATGTCAAGTGTCATATCCATGACAAGATAAGCCAGGAGTCAATGAGTAAATAACATGCGATTCAAGTGTCATTTACATCATTTAGAACAAGTGCCTTGCAGTCAACTGAAAAGATGTGAAAGAATAGGCAGCAGCAGCCCCGTTGGTCCACCCTGATAAGAATAAAGTGATCAATACAGATGATGTCTAGAGATGTACGATCACCAACCATCCACCAGACAGACCCAGAAAAGTCACACACCACACCCAGACTCCCTAGAAGCTCCGTCACCAGCTTGACCTGCACCCTACAAGGTCAGAAAAGGCAGAGGAGGCAGAGATGCCTGCCAGCTTTTTAGTTCCCAGCCACTCTCATCTCCCAAAGACAACGCTCCCACCTCTGCGCCAGGGGGAAGGGGTGGGGCCCTGAAGAAGTGGGGGTGGGTAGGAGGAGATGGTGAGGAGGGGAGAGGGAGGGGTGGGGGCGATCAGGGGGATCGGGAGCTGGGTTGGTCTCACCTGGTCTCACTCCCGCCAGCATTGGCAGTGGGTGGTGGGTGAACGCCATGCGGGGGGACCTCGTCTGGGAGGACAGGGCGCTGAAATCGAATTTCCCCGGCTTCTTAAGAGAACTAGGCGATGAGAGTCCTGGCAAAAAGGGGATCAACAAAATGGCAGAACAGAGACGAGGTTTTAATCAAACATGGCTGCTTTTCTTACTTCGACTCTACTAAAAAAAAGAGAGAAAAATAAACTTATCACTTTTTTATTTGATTGCAAGAATCGAATGATCATGATTGACTGAAATCAATGGACTGATCGATTGATTCATTCATTGATTTGTTGATTGGCTTAACATACAGATGGGTTCTCACAATCTGTCTGTCTAATGCTCTATGTTTGTGTACAGTCAGCGGGCTGTACCATGTCCGTCAGACTGGGGGAGGGGGGGGGGGTTGAGGGCAGGGTCCGGTGAGAGGCCACGTTTTTTTTGAAGCAGCAGGGGTTCAGAGCGAAGGGAGGTGACGGGAGAAAGGGGGAAGGTGTGGGGAGCTCGGGAGGCTAGGGGCTAGTGTCAAGAGAGAGGAGAGCTGGGAAATGCAATGGCGGAGTGGACTGGAGTGCAAGTGCACACAGCAAAGTCCTACTCGCTGGTTTTACTCACAGGGCAATCCACTGAAAACAATCCAGAGATGTCCCCTTTTTGAGATCAGACTAATCCCAATCCACAATGATCTCAGAGCCTGGTGTGGCTACAGTGAGCTCCAGGAACACAGTAAATAACACGCCAACCAACCTACTCAGTGCACTGTCAGCATGCCTCTTTAGAATGAATGGGCTCCTGGATGGCCTCATATCTGGGGCAGATTGTGCTTTTCAAGCCAAAGCCAGCACAAGCAGCTACATATAGCTGCAGAAGAGCATGCCAAAACATACATCAATGGATCCTCTAATGTAGTGCCCTTCCGCATATCTGACAGCCAGGTATTTTATGTTACTGCCTTAAGACGTATGGTATTTCAAAAAGAAGTCGTTTCTGAGCCCTCACACACACACACACACACACAAGCTGCCCAGGCTGGGTGGCGAGCACCGGGAAAACTGCCAGTAAATACTGGATGGGAGAGCGATAGAAAGATGGAAGGAGTTAAGCAGGAGAGGAGCGGTGACGGCATTGCCGCCACACAGACAAACATATTAAAGTGTCCCCCTCTGTCTATAAATGTCGGATGAGGCTAAAGCACTGCATGAAATATCCCTCAGTTTGGTAAAAATGGGCACACTAAGTATAGGCCAGGCTCACCAGCGGACCAGAAACATGGCCAAAAGTGTGAGAGCTACAGATAAAAGAGGCTCTCTTCTGTGATCAAGGCCTTGTGTGGTGGGCGCTGAGGGACTTTATTTTGATGTATGGTAATCCAAAGGCACAATTTAGACTCTCAGGGTTTGAGGACCAGCGCCAAATGGTGTATTTGACCTCTGCCGGTAACCGCAATGTTGAATATATGCTGAAATAAAACTCTGGAAAGAACAATCCATAAAACAGAGAATAATGAGGAAGTAAAAGTATAGAAAAGTACATCAGCGTGGACACACAGACCTCATTAATTTTCTCTGGAACATACAGGACTCATGTTTTGTTTGCTTCAGATTTGGTTGAAAGAGTACAGTGATAAACAACCTTGGCGAGCAAAAGCCCCATAAACTACTCAACGACACAATATTCACACATATAAAACAAACACACTCAAATAAAGACGTGGGTAATTTCAACATGGCCCAGAGAGATGTGGAAATAGATTTTATGAGCTAAGCATATAAAGTCTACGAGAGCAGATTTCTGAAAAGCTTTTTTTTTAATGCTTCACTGGGAAAGGTTTTATCACTATTTACCCACAATGCTCATGGGCAGCTGTGATTGTGTGGGCACCGATAAGTATAGAAAAAGGTGGGCACCGGCACTTATGCTCAGACAGGCACATCATGTGACACATGTAGGTGGGAGGAGCGGATACTATAAGGAGGGTGAGATAAAAATTTTATGTAAGTGTAGAAGTATGAAAAGTGTATGTAAGTTTTATTTATTTATTTTTTTGTACAACCATGGAGGCCTACAATTACACAAGGTTCAGAGTCCAGACAACAGTTTGAAGCCAGAAGGATGCAAGATCCATATGAATCAATTTTACAGGAGAGTTAGAAGATAACACTTTTGTTGTTGTTTAAACAGTATATGTTGGCCTCCATGTGTATTTATATGTATGAATAAGATATATGATTCACTTTGTAGAGCCCAATCAACCCTTCTGGGCTGCTTGTGTCTTTTCCGGGTAAAAAATGACACAACATTCTCTAAAGGATCCAGAGAAAAGAAGGAAGGAGGAAGAAAGGGAGTAAACTATAAAGCATTTTTGTGTTGCATTTGGAGCAAAGAAATTAATTCTTGACTAAAATATCAGTGACGGATCATTGCAGGTCACTGATAATTATAATGGTGTTTGGCCAGCCATAGAGTTAAAAGCCTAGTGAAAAAAGGAATAAAAGTGGAGCAGAAGAACAGCTGGACACACGTTTCAAGAAGATAAAAAGTATAAACTATTTGCTACAGTCAGCAGGACATTAGTAACGTAGGCCTGTTATCCATCTAGTACTGATATTTTACTTCTGATGGTGTGTTTGAAACTTTGCTTGGTAATATATTACAACCAATTTAATTTATTGCACAGGGAGTACGCCTGCTGCTGCAATGCAAAACTTTGACGAGCTGCTAGTGGTGGAAGACGCACTCAGATCCTTTACTATTGCACAGTCCTGACTCAAACCGGCGACATCGGGTACGGGAAGCGGACACACTGATGAGGAGGCGAAAACCCATGGGCCCTTGCGACTACATCACTTAAATCCATCTAGTCAAAAACATCCTTTTTTTATTTTTTATCTTTTCCTCTAGTGAAGTGCTACACCATGTCAATAATTTAGGTTCTTGTTGATGTAATGTCATTTGTTTTGTGATGTTTTTTATGAAGCAACAATGGACTGTGCGCAAGCCAAATTTCCCTTCGGGGACAATAAAGTTTAACCTAACCTAACCTAAAACCACATTGTAAAAATACTCGAGTCATGCATTCGAAACTTCACTAAAGATGAAGTACAATATTAGTAAAAGTAAATGTACTCATTCAAAATGGCCACTGTCCCATTATCATATTGTACACATCATAATATTGTATTATAACTGTTGATGCAGTAAGCATATTTTAATGGAATAACTGTTGCTAATTTATATACTGTACTATTATTTGTATGTAAAACCTTGATCTGAGCTAATCTAAGCTGTCAGATATTGATGCATGGTATGTAAGGACAATATTTGCATCTGAAATGTATATGGTAGAAGTATGAAGTAGCCTTAAATAGAAATATTCAAGAAAAATACCACAGCATTGTACTTCAGTACTTCAATGAATACACTTAGTTACTTTTCACCACGGCAACAGGTCAGCCAGTATCTCAATCATGAAGCACGCAGCAAGGCGTCATTACTGCGACTTGATGAAACTTTACAAAAACAAATAGGTTAGCTATCTAACGAACTTTGCGAAACAATATGTTAAAGAATGTGCTGTTTTACTGTGTATGCTCAGAACGTCAGGGTAAAATGTATAATTTCAACTGGTGTATGGATTCCTCGCTCGTGCGGTTAAAAACAGACAAGCTGAACCCCAACATGTTGTGGATTCAATGCATCCCTGCAATTAAGCCTGTTTGGCTCCAGTTCCCCCTGTGGTAGGTATAGGGATGACTGCGTGCCACCACAGAACAAGTTCAATTATAACTGGCTTATTATGCATAAACAGCCTTAAATTATACATATTGTTTTCAGTCTCTATCATATTCCCTAATTAGTCAGTATCTTGCTGAAATATCTGGTACTATGTGGCTTCTCAGTGAGGAACAGCAAATGAGGCCCAGATGCCCAATGAAAGCTTTGTCTGATAAAGCTAACAGAAGTTACTCTGATCTCTCCCTTAATCTGTGTGTGTGTGTGGGTTGTTGTGAGTCTACACACACACACACACACACACACACACACACACACACAAACGCACACACACACACACACACACACACACACACACACACACACTGTTGTTTGTTCTGCATTATTTCTGTGTCCTGCTCCTGGCACACTGCACAAGCAGACTGGCAGCCAATTGCTCCCATGACCCTCTAGTCTTGCCACGCTAACAAGCTGGCGACCACACAAACCCCTAACTGTCACAGAACTGGTCCACTAGCATGTGCACAACCCCATACACACCACACCAAAAAGAGAGCTCACACACTCGTCATTCAGGTAAGCAGGAAACGATGTGCATTAGCAGAGTTGTGTCCCTTTTTAATGACCTCACACACCATTAGCACTCAAACGCTAAGGTAAATGTGCATCAGACAAAGCAAGGACACCTTAACAACCCCACAACCACACACACGACAGTTTTGAAGCCATAACACCAAATAATTAGCTGGAATTCTCTGTCAATACCACAAACACTTGGGACCCCCCACCCCCACCCCTATTGAAATGTTGGTAGCGGGTTTTCCCACCATTGAGCAGCGGGAGCAAGCAGGCAGGAGGAGAGAACGGAGCAGAGCAGAGCAGAACGGGAGACAGCAGACTTAATGATGAATTACATGATCACCTGCTATGCCTCAGAGCTTTTCATTCAGGTAGAGGATCACCTCCAGAGCAGGCAGAGGCCTTCCCTCCCCCTCCCCTCCTATCCTCGGCCCCTCCTCTCTTCTCCTCATCTCTCACTCCCAACACCACCACCACCATCACCAGAACAGATGTCTGCTGTAACCCAGTAGCTCCCTTCGCTGTAGACACATGGAGGCGCCATCTGGACCGGAACGCTGCTCCTCTCCAGATTGGGGTGTGTATGTGTATGTGTGTGTGAATGTAAATCAGAGAAAGAGCTTAAATTTGGTTTTTGAGTGTGCGTGTGCGTGTGCATGTCTGCCATCCATTTGCAAATGTGTGTGTTAGTGAGTAAGCATGTCTCGGAGACAGAAGGTGGCTTGTGCATTGATGACACACCTGAGCGCCTTCAGTCGTGTTTGTTTGGGTCGTATGTTGTTTTTTCCTGTGCTGTCTTTCAGAGACGGTTGCGTCAGGCCTACAGCAGGTGGGACACCACTCAACAGCTCCGTCTAAACAACCCGGCTGGATGAAGCGGCCAACGCTGCTACTCAACAAACCCTCATTCACATTCACTCACACACACACACACACACACACCCTCCCTCCTTCTCGGTGTCTTTCAACGCTCGCTTTCTCTCTCTGGGCTCGACAACAAAATTACAACACCCAAAGCACTTAGCTGAATGTTGCTGACAAATTCACACCACCTCGGGAAACTTTGTTTGTGTGCATGTGGTGTGTCTCAACAATGTGGTTTCTGGATATGATAATGCACAAAATTACACATTGTTAGACATTGTATGTCAGGATAAGAGTAATTCATGTTTTTTAATGCACCAGGGATGTCTTCTTCCTCCTAGATGTCTGATTCTTTCACAGATTTACGGCAACATCTTTGAGGCAGACGGGCGGTGGATGTTATGGAGCTACTGGGCTACCAAAAGGCTTTGGTAAACCCACAATGGACAACAGCAGACATCTGGTAGAAACACAACCCCACCCAGCGGCAGCATAGCCAGAGAACAAGACACAAGAGAGGGATGAAGAGAAGAGAAGATAAAGGACAAATGGAAAATGCTCGGAGAGCTTACAGGAAGTGCAAACAGACTTGAAAATAGGACAGAAAGAGACAAGTTGAGGGTGGTTTTAGCTGAAGTAGAGCATGTATACATGTACACAGTATAATGTTTAATGTTGTTCTAACCATGGTAAGGAAACTGCACTCCATCGCTCTCATGCTTAATCTTCCTCTCCTGCACACTGGCCAAATGGTGTTGCACTGAAAGGCCAAACAGGGGAGAAGGGAAGAGTTAACAATGGAAGAGGGGAGGAGAGAAAAAGACAAAGACAGAGAGAGATGGAAAGAATGGGAGAGAGAAAGAAGGGTGGTTAAATAATGGGCAACAGGGGATGTTAATGTTATAGAGTGCAGCAAGTGTCTATAAAAGTTACATCATTACTGCTGGCGGTATTAAAATGGCAGCATGTGAGTGGGAGTGATGGTTATAAATTGGAGAACACATGAAAACTTAATTTAACAGAATCCCTAAAGTCAAATACCAAACCCAAGACATATATGAAGTCTACTGTAAATACATTTGACATGGTATCCGTCATGATGGTTAAGAATGCTGTAAGCCAAAGCGTGAGTGGTTATGATTTAAGAAGTAAATGGGTGGTTACACTGGTGCTGCTCTGCTGCAATACTCAGACAACACAGAAGCATTTGGATGGTATAACTCAGAGGGTGTATGGGGAATAATGTGAGAGGAATAGTTAGGCATTTTGGGAATTAAGTTACTCGATTTCTTAGTTAGATGAAAAGATTGCTGCCACTGTCATAACTGCACGGCAACGTAAATATGAAGCTACAGTCAATAGTTGGTTATCTTAATGTTAGCTTAGCACAAAAGATTAAAAACAGGGGGAAACAGCTACCCTGGCTCTGTCTGAAGGTAACATACTACATATAAGCACCTGTAAAGTTCAAATAAACCTATTACATATTGTTAGTGTAAGCTAGTTAGGGTTAGCTTAGCTTAGCACAAAGACTGGAAAACAGAGCCTG